CCAAGTAGTACACGATCTAAGAAAAAGGCAAAGCAGGTCAATGAAGAGGTTGAAGTTGACCAACAGAGTGATGATGAGTCTGATGAAGAGGATGATCCAAATGAGGTTGACTTGTGGAAAAAGAGAAGTATATTCTTCGAGTTGCCTTATTGGAAGAATCAGATTTTGAGACATAATCTTGATGTAATGCATATTGAGAAGAATGTTTATGAGAATATTATCGAGAGCATTCTGAATGATGGCAGAAAATCTAAAGATAATCTTAAGAGTCGACTTGACTTAGTCGACATGGGAATTCTGCATGATCTTCATCCGTAATTACATCCTAATGGATAATATTTCTTGCAGCCTTCTATTTTTTCTCTTTCGAAGAAAGAAAAATAAGTGTTTTGCACGATGTTGAAGGATATAAAGGTCCCAGATGGGTATGCATTAAACATTTCTCGATGTGTCAGTGTTAAAGATTGAAGACTTTATTCTTTAAAGTCACATGATTATCACATATTAATGCAAGATTTACTGCCAGTAGTTATACGCGGTTGCATGTCAAGTAAGGTGACGTCTTGTATCATTAAACTTTATAATATAATGAAATCCATTTGTGGGAAAGTTCTGATGGTTGAATAACTTGATAAACTATAAGATCGAGTCGCCTTGACTTTATGCAACTTGGAGAAGATATTTTCGCCTTCATTCTTCACAATTATAGTGCATATGCTAATTCATCTTCCTAACGAAGCAAGAGTTGGTGGACCAGTTTTCTATCGATGGATGTACCCTATAGAGAGGTGTTAATTGAATTATACGTTTCAAATGACTACTGATTATACCTTTTAATAAAATGTATTTACGTAGTATGTTGTTTTTTGTATAGGTTCTTGGGCAAGTTGAAGTCTTACTGTCGTAATAAGCGTTATCCGGAAGGATCAATTGCTGAAATGTATTTGGCAGAGGAATGTATAACATTTTGCTCTAGATATTTGGAAGATGTTGAAACAAGATGGAATAGACCAAATCGAAATGATGTGTTCAGTACTAATGACTTATCTCAACATTATTTGTTTGGAAGTTATGGTCAACCATTAGGGAAAGTTAAAATTGTACCCTTAGATGACACGTCTTAGGTACAAGCACACTGATATGTTCTTTTCCATCACGATTCAATAGATCCCTTTCGTACGTAAGTCTTTCAAACCCAATACTAATGAAATCTCTTAATCTTTTATATTTATCATTTTTAACGATATAATATACTTTATAGTAAGTTTAAAGAAGTCTTGAGATATCGTACACGCTCCCGAAGATTAAATCAGTGAGAGATACATAAGTTATTCACATAAACTTTTCATAAATGGTTAGGCCAGACGGTAAGCAACTAAGTCATTCCACATACTTATAAATAAAATTTGTCTTGCTTTTTATATCGAAATCAATGCAAATTAATTCACCATTCATGTGTAATAGGTTTGGAGTGGGAGAGAAGTTAGTGAAGATGTTAAATGGCTTTCCTGAATAGAATAGTTAAAAGATATAATGCCTTCCTCATAAATGGGTTCAGGTTCCACACAAAATCTCGTGAAAGATTAAGGAGGACACAAAATTGTGGAGTCGTAGTTACTTCGTCAACTACAAGTTATGCTAGTGTCAGAGACAATAATCCGTAGAAGAGAGATGTCGATTATTATAGAATTCTTACGGACATCTTTGAGTTAGATTATTATGGAAAACGAAAGGTTGTGTTGTTTCGGTGTGCTTGGGTTGATGTAAATGGAGGCATAAAAAGAGAGATTCGGGTTTGCAATAGTGAATTTCTCTCGATTAATTCACACTGGTCAACGATTGATGGATGAACCATATGTATTTTCTTCTCAAGTGAAACAAGTATTTTACTGTCATGATCCAATGGATGACAGTTGGTATGTTGTGCTCCGTAATACTCTCAGAGACTTGATAGACATCGGGGATGGAAGTAGAGATGATATTGAAACAAGATCAGAATGTTTACCTCTACTACCACAAAACTTAGATGAAGCTATCACTAATACAACACAATTTCAATGGGTTCGGGAGGACGTTGATGAAGATATTTATGACAACTGACATTACATAAGAATGTCGTAAGATTTTATATCTTAATTTATTTATTTATAATATTATAACCTTTAACATGTTATCTTTCAATATATTCATTAATTATTTCATTTTCTTATTACAAATGTTTATTTATTAAAGATATCATGCCGAGGAGAAAAATAAGTGATTTGCAGGTTGTTCGAGCTTCTGAAGACCATGAACAAAGAAATAACAAGGAATCGAATGCAGCTGAGTCTTTCGAAGTTCCTGACACTGTTGAAGAAGATGTAGAAATTCAAGGTAATCTTCGAAAATTTATTTACTAGTTTGTTCATTTTCAAAACTTACATTTAATAATTTCTTATATAGTTAAAATGATGGAACGCGCAAGAGTAGAGGACGTACAACGTTGAAGGAATTATACCAACTTCCTGTTGGGCACCGTGTCAAAGTTTCAAGAAATGATGTCGGCCAACCTATTAGCCCAGAAGCAGTCTTTTATCCGGTTACTTAGGCATAGTTGGACGTAATGTGAATCTGTTACCGATCAATTATGAGTCATGGCGCGAAATGCCTAATAGTAACAAAAATCAGGCATTGGATTTTGTTAAGGTAATATGTCATTATAATATATACTCTATAACAATTCAATACTAATTTATACTTACGTTGCACACTTGTTTGTTTTATAGGAGAAATTTTCTTTAGAGGTCTCTGACGATTATGTGAAGCAAGTGTTAGGGAAGAGATGGAGAGACCACAAGTGCTCATTAAAGAAGAAATACTTCAAGAATTATCTCAGCCTTGAAGAGAAGATACAAACAGTCCCACCTGGAATGCTCAGGTACCAATGGGAAGATACAGTCAGATTTTGGAGTTCACAAAAAGGGCAGGTATGATGTATTTTTCAAAAATAATTTTAACGAATTATAAATCATCATTAAAAGTGGTTGTTTGACATTGTAGGATCGAGAGCATGTTGATGTTGCTAGCAGGCAACAATAAAAGTTTACGCACAAGGGTGGATCGAAGAGCTTTGCTTGTATAACTAATGAGCAGGTAGTATAGATTATTCACATAGTTATTTGTATTCCATGTACATAGTAACTCAAAGTAATTATATTATGACACATACAAAGAAGGATGGCACTCCTATGACTGCTGAAGTTGCAGAAATTATGGTACGTTTATTGGATAGAGGTTTTAAATTTACCTGACTTTATTTATATCTAGACCATGACATTTTTTATTTGAATTAATTATTCACTTTATTATTAGGAAAAATTGAGGGAGAAAATGGCGGAGTATCATGCTAGTGCTTCGAGTCAAAGTCTTGTTAATGATGATGACATTGAAAACCAAGTTATTAATGACGTTTTGGGTCCTGAAAGATATGGTCGGGTGCGCTCTCAAGGATCATTCGTTACTCCTACCAAATATTTTGGATCCAGTTCATCACAATACATTTCATCATAGTCTCAATCTTCTCAATTAGAAGTTAGTCGTTTAAAACAAAAGTTAGTTGAGATGGATCAATAAATGGCTAACATGAAAGCCGAAAATGAAGCAAGGGAAGAAGAGAGAGCAACAGCAGAAGCAGAGAGAGAAGCAACAGCAGCACAGAGAGAAACAGCATATCAGTAGAGATGTGAAGAATTTGAAAAACGACTCGATGCCATGATGCAGATGTTACAGAAAACGCAACCTTAGAATCCATCATCATAGTCTCATTTATGTTATCAGCAGTCTGTTAATGTTACTGGACCGTGTTTAACTGAATTGATATTACGTTAATGAAAACTTTTATTTATTATATTGGATTTAATGTTGCTTGTTATGGATATAGAGTTTGATGTTATTGATGTCATGTTTGTTGGATAATGGAACAGGTTGAAAAAACAGATTTGGGGTAATCGAAGAAAATATTTAATTTGTTTAAATTTTGTGTTCTTTAGTGGCGTTTGTAACAAAAAAAATGCCGCTATATACCATATATTTTACGGCGTTTGTATCCTAAAAACGCCGCTATATACCGACCTTTAGCGGCATTTGTATCCAAAAAACGCCGCAAAATATCTTAACCTTTTGAGGCGTTTAAGAAAACACTGTTATATACATACGCATTTTACGGCGTTTGTGGGGAAAACGCCGCTAAATCTCAACACCTATTGCGACGTTTGTGAGAAAAATACCGCTAAATCTCAAAACCTATTGCGTCGTTTGTGAGAAAAACGCTGCTAAATCTCAACACCTATTGCGCGCGTGCATGGGAAAACGCCACTAAACCTCAACACCAATTGCGGCGTTTGATATCAACACCTATTGTGGCGTTTGTTGAACATACGCCGCTATATATCGTTACCTATTGCGGCGTTTTTTGTTACCAAACGCCACAAACTTTAGCGGCGCTATTTTCAGCGGCGCTTTTTGCGGCGTTTATCATATGGCCGCAGGTATTTTTTTGCGGCGCTTAAAAACGCCACAAAAAGCCATTTTTGCTGTAGTGATAGTTACATTTTGATCATTTAACTGTTAACTTTTATTAGTTCGATGATGTGAAATGTTAATAAAATATGTCACTTTTGATTTGAACTCTGAACTTCATATAAAATACTAATTTGACATGTGAATTTTAGATGAAATATCATTTCAATGTTAGATGAAATGTCGTTTTTAAAGGAATATTAATTATAAAATTATTAATTTGACTTAATTTTAAAGGAAGTCGAAGATTTCATTCTACATTTGTCGAGTCTAGAGTATTTTTTAGTGATATGGACATTATACTCGCGTTTAGAATGCCTAAAAAGGAGTGAAATGGAAATTTTAAGGCCTAACGCTCGTCGGGGGTGATTGATGGTGGTCAGCGGTGGTAGACAGTGGTGGTAGACAGCGACCATGGTGAATGGCAACCCACAGCATGAGACTTTGTCTAATGAGTCTAATACTAGAATGAATGGCAGCAAGGAAGTAAATGACTACATGGCCATGTAGTACAAAGTAGGTCTCTAAGAGTACAAACCCTGTAAGCATAAGCATGCTGCTGCCTCTAACAAGGCAACTTTAATGATAAGCACTCTCGTAACCTTTATTAACTTAAAACTAATATTACGCATAATGATGGGCTTTCAATTAAACATGAACAACTTGTCGAATCCTCGTATCTGTTTCGTTTGCCATGATAAACATCCATGGCCATGGATCTCCTTCTTCATCGGCTAGAGCCAAACGCATTTGCCCATCGGTATCTATCTCTCTCTCGATTTTGTTGCAGGCAGTTATGGATGAACCGCGTACCGAAGGGCAGTACTTCAAATTGTAGATGATATCCATGTCGTCGACGTCCCTCACTATTTTAAACCAATCCTTTGTGTCGCAAGCAGGGCCTCCTTCAGCCCCACCAAGTTCAACCCAGCCTTTTCCGGTTGATTCGACAAGATCTTGAACCTTCCACACCGTTGATGACCGGCAGAGTTTGTCTCTAGGTCCAACGAACTTTATTTTTACGTCCGAGGACACACGGACAACGTCGGCGTCGGAGTCCGCATTAGAAAATATCACGGGATCACCATAGTCGAGATTGGATTTTCTCTGAACGACAATTTCCGGGCATTTTCTACCGCTCTCTCTGCCTATAGCAAGCCCTCCACCACTATCGCCAGCTAACACCGACACTAAATAGTATGGGACGCCCGTGACGACCTCTTTACCGGTACCATCCAGCACGGCATTGTTTGCAGCGTTGGCCAGGCCAAACAGAAAGGATGATTGTGTGATTGAGAAGCAAAGAAGAAATACAGAAGCAGATGCGGATTTCATGGTTAGAAGATTGTGTTTGAGACGTGTTGTTGGTTTAGTTTTCCATACCAATTTATAGAGGTATAAGCAGTGGTGGATCCGAAGCATTCCGAAGGTTAGCACTAAAATCCGATTTTTGATTAATTATTTATTTTATTGTACTGAAATTTTATATGTATTTATCCTATTAAAAATTTTGTAATGTTATGTCTGTCCTCTCGTAAAATTATTTCTGCATCTACCATCGAGCGTAAGGTCCATTAACGTCCATAATTCATTGAGATAAAGTACTACCCATTTCAAATGTAGTAATTTATTAGGTCCACCTTGTACATCTATTGTTAAAATTTTGGATAAACTACATAAATGACCACTCAACTATGGGTTTGGTCTATAAATGACCATCATTTTTAAATTTACGTCAATATGACCACTGAACTATTTAAATGGTTTCAATACATACACATGCCGTTAAAATTTAACGGGGAGTGTTAACATGGCAATTAAAAAAATTGATTTCACCATAAAGTTACGTATTCGAGGTGCTGACACTCTGCTTTTCTTCTATTTTGGTCACTACTTGTATATGATTTATTTCCTTGGATTCTCATTTAATGCAATTTGATCCTGATTTTGTTTTTAATTTGTCTAATGCCTTAATGTGTGCATTAACTTTAAAATATTTTATTCTAGTAATTTATTAAATTTATAGATTAAATCCTCTAGATTTTAGAATTAATCAATTTGATCACCAAGATTAACTTTAATTCTTAATTTTTAATTAGGTCTTAATTTCAATTAATTTAATAAATTTACAATCCAATCAAAAGGTGGTGTGTGTCACCTTTTGTATTGAAGTGAAAATAAATGAAAATGGATTTTGACACCCAAGGGAATCCAACTTGGGTCTCAAGGGTAACATGCGCATGTCTTAACCACTAAGCTAATTATCACGCTTGTTATTGAGATAATACATATATTATATAACTTCTTCAAGTTTAGGCAGAAAAAATAATTTCATATTTATTTTTAATGATTATATATATGAAATCATTAAAATAATTTAATATTCAAATTATAGTCATAAGAAGAAATATTTAAGATTCAAATTAAAAATTTATCTTTTGAATTTAAATTGTACTCATGAGTTTGGGTATGTTAAATAAATTTTTATTGTAAATTTTAAATATAATTTCATATTTATAATCATTAATAAATATATATAAAAAAATAAAATTTAATTTAGTTTAGTTTAAGAATATTAAAATATTAAATTAATTATAAATAATATATTAGATTTTTTTGCAATTTAAGTGTTATCATATTCTCAATTGGCTTAGATTTAAGTCCTCGCTTGTCTATTTTTATTTCTATCATTAACTATAATATATAATATATAAAAATAATTTAATTGATTCGTAAATATTAGATTTAGCCTATTGGTTAATGCTTTGTTGGTTACTAATTGATCTTGGGTTTAAATGCAATTAAGTTATTTTAGTTTTGTTTTTCTGCCTAAACATTAACAAGTTATATAACATATGTATTATCTTGATAACAATTGTGAGAATTGACTCAACGATTAATTCTATAATCTAGTGAAATTAATCTATAAATTTATTACATGACTAGGATAAATGATTTTAAAGTTAATGTTCATATTAAGGCATTAAATAAATTAAAAACATAATTAGAATCAAATTGCATTAAATGAAAATCAAAGGAAACAAAGCATATTCAAGTAATGATCAAAATGTAAGAAAACAAAGCAGGATGCCAGAGTCGCGAATACGTAACTTTACAAGGACTCGCGTCTTAGTTATACCAATTTTGTTAACTGTCATGTAAACAATTCCGTTAAATGTTAATGACAAATGACAATATTAAAACCGTTCAAATAATTTAGTGGTACACAAATTTACAATGATGGTCATTTCGAGATCAAGACCATAGTTGAGTGGTCATTTATATAATTTACCCTAAAATTTTCAACACCACATTACCCCACCCCAGCGCCATCTTTGTTGTCTTGTTATTTATTGCTCTCCTCTTCTTGTTATCCATAGCACGTGCATTAATGAGTCATTCAAAACAATTGATTCCAGAATGTCCTACTATATAGTACATATATTAAATATAGTTATGAATAGGGGTGTTAAAAATATATCATAATTGTTAATCTTAACCATTAGTTAGTATAATCGTTATATTTAACAGGTTAATTAATCGAATCGTTAATATTAAACGGTTTCGGTTAATTAAACCACTAAAAATAATAGTTAACGGCTAAGATTATAATTATGAATTTTGATAAATGATTAACCAACAGTTATCAATTAATAAATTAAATTTATAATTATTGTTAGAGTTTTGTTCGAATTCAAAGTGATACAAATTAATTAATATATAAATTTAAAAAAATAAGAATCATAGTTTGATTAAAAGTAGATTACTTTATTAAAGTAAATTTCTACTTTATTTAGTTTTCTTTAATAAGCAAGTATCTATCACTATAAATAGATACTAAAGGTAAAGGGTTAGATATCAAATTTTTTCTTTCAGAAAATCCTCTTGTATTTTATTCATTCATAATAGTGAAATTCTTCTCATATGCCCGTGGTTTTTTCCTTTCGAGTTTTCCAAGTAAATCTTGGAGTTCTTTATTTTTTTTCGATCGTATTTATTTGTTTGCCGATAATCGTTTTGAATTGATATCAGAACTTTGTGTAGCTATATTACTCTGACTAGTTCATTTTTCTTAAAATGTATGTGCTTTATATTTGTATTTGTATTTATGTATTTATATCCGTATTTGTAAAAGACTTTCCTACATGAATACAAATATGATTGTCTAACATGGAACTCATCCCCAAATCCAAGTAGCATATGTATCATCTTCCTTTAGGATCTGCAAACGTCGAGTAAACAAGGCTTAACATGCTCGATTCGACTTCATTGTTAGCTATTTGTTCATCAATGGATATTGTTGCAGCATGTATATCATAAGCATCTTTGGCCTTCTCTTGTGCCACTTCAACACTTCAAGGGTTTTCCTGCAATTGAAGGGATAACTAGAGATTCCAAAGCACGTCGCGCCGATCGAAGGTCAATCGACCTCGTTATCCGATAAACACTTTTTCACTACGTCTGAGAATATCTTAAAGCACCCCGGGTGAATCTTTCCCACGAGATATGGATCGATGATTTGATGGAATGTTCCTCTCGTTTGGTAATGCATAGCGTAATCGACCAGACTGACTTGTTCCCTCGGTAGGTTCGACTCCCATACCGGCCTTGCACACAACACCTCGAAAAGGACTACTCTGAATGGGTATACATAGGATTTTTCAGTTAATTTCCGCCTACAAAAGTATTTGGGGTCCAAGTAACCGAAGCTACCTTTTACCAATGTACTAGCTTGAGTTTGGCTATGACTCGAACCGATTTTCGATAGTTCAAAGAAAACTTTCGTGACCCAATTCTCATCTGATAGAATTAACCTCTGACGAGAGCTCAGATGAATCTAAACTCATAAGAAGAGATTAAGGAATAACAAGAAAACGAAAGAGAAACAATTGGAAAGAAACTGAAAAACGATATGAGAATAAGTATAATAGAAATAAGAATGAATAGCTTTTTCATAATATTCATAAAACTTGTCTACTTAGCCCAAAGGCACGACAAGCTTATTTATACAGACCCGAGAGAGGTAAGGGCCCAAAGCAGTTATAACAACAATAAATACTTTTAGTTACACATATACACTATACTCTATCATTCTCCTGGTTCCTCTTGCTCTTGACTTTTTTCAGCGGAGAAAACTCCAAGCCTGTCACGCATGTGCTCAAACAGAGATGGGGGAATAGGTTTGGTCAGTATATCTGCAATCTGCTCTGCAGTAGGCACGTAATTGACAACAACTTGACCAGCCAAGGCCTTTTCACGAATAAAATGGTAGTCAATCTCAACATGCTTAATTTTAACATGATGAGTAGGATTAGCAGCCATGGAGATAGTGGATGTGTTATCACACCACACAATCGGAACCCCAGGCAATTGAACTCTAATTTTGCACAACAAATGCTCAACCCAAACAAGCTTAGAAACAGCATTTGCCAACTTCTATACTTAGCCTCAGAGGAAGATCGAGAAACCAAATGCTGTTTTTTGAAACTCCAAGAAACCAGATTTGACCCCAAGAAAATACAGTAGCCAGTCATGGATCGTCTATCTTCAACCGATGAGGCCCAATCAGCATATATATAGCAAACCAAACTAAACAGTCATGCCTCTTTGAACACAAGCCCTTGGCTAAGAATTCTACTAAGATATCTCAGTATCCTTAACAACCATAACTACTTTTAGTTACACGTATACACTATACTCTATCATCGTCCACTAAAATGTTTGTAGTCTTAACATCCCTGTGTATGATTAGGTACCTTGTGCCAGTGTGAAGATAGTAAAGTCCACTTGCAGCTTCAAAATGCATATTTCCAATCTTTGCTTACACGTCAAGGGAGGTTTATCAGTATGATACAAATGTTCCCTTAAGGTCTCATTAGCCATATAATCATAGACCAAGATCATCTCCCCGGCTTATTTGCGAAATCCGATCAGTGAGACCAAATGTTGGTGTCTTAGCTTCGAGAGCATCTCAATTTCGTTCTGGAATTCGTGAAGTCCATGTTCCGAAGAAGGGTTTGCTCTTTTGATAGCAACTTTAGTCTCTCCATCTATAGTACCCTTATAAACCTTGCCAAATCCTCCTACACCAATGACATTCGGTTCGTGGAAGTTCTTGGTTCTATTTTTTGATATCCAATAAGGAGAAATGCCTGTAGAGATCGGCGGTGATATTCGAAAGGCGACCGTGTAACATCATAATCTAGTTTGACCCGAAGATCTATGGATCACAATGTTACAAGGGACTACCGAAATAGTAATCCAAAATTTTTCTTTAAAAACTGCGTTATAATTTTCTGAAAGTAGATCATCCATAGTAATAAAATAAAACGTGATAATAATCTGAGTTTACAAAATAATTGGGAGCTCCCAAAATATATCCAAAAATAAATGCAGTACCAAGTACAAATCAAAGTTACGACTGAATATACGTAAGGGTCCAGAAATAGTACATGCCCTCTAAAGATGACTCAAGACTACTCCGATGGTCTCTGTTGGTCTGAACTACTGCATTGGAATGTCTGGTAACGTTAACTACCCACGAATTGCCCCTAAGAACCTGCGCATGGAAATACATTCATAACGCTAAGCCTACGAGCTCAGTGTCTCACTAATAATTATACTATACTACATGCATTCACTAAATGAGTTAGCTAGTAGCATAGGTTTGGACATGCAAAAATATTGTTTTTAACTACTAAGTGGGCATCATGGTGAGGCTAAGGGTTTTGTATCTCGGAGCTCATACATCCATCTAGCCTTTCTAATATACCCTCGAGTATCTAGGGTGAGATTCGAAGCACCATCGCCATCGAGTCTTGGGGTTGCACCCAGTCTGCTATTAAAGTGCCTTGGCACTGACTTGGATATCTACTGATTGTCGTATTCTGCTAAGGAGGGACGCAGGTGTCCTAGTTGTTTCCTGACCGTCAAACAATGTTAGTTTTATGTAATCCTAGTTGTTACTGTTTCTACTGTTGTGATATTTATTATTGTTCTCGCTTTAAGTTTTATTGTTGTTATTCTGAGTATATGGGGTACCTCGAGTCTGATTTCTTAATCCTTTGATTATTTATCCAAATCTATTTATGGGTATCGATATTGACCCTTTAGTGTCGATATTAAACCTCTGGTATTGATACCCACTTGTTGGTATCGATACCTTCTGACTGACGTGGACTGTTTGGTTAAGCCAGTATCAAAACTCTGGTGCTGGGGTATCTATACTTGGCTGAGTATCAATAATAAATTTTGGTTTGATATTGTGAAAAATACCCCAGTATAGATATCCCTATGGGGAGTATCGATACTCCTTCCCTGGTATCAATACTCTATGAATGAGTATCGATACTACCCCTTTAAAACTGCGTAATTTTTGCCTGAATGATGAATAGTATCTATATTGTTTCTATAGCATCGATGCTGACGCTACTGTGTGCCCTGTTTTGGCATGAAAAATGTTATTTTTTTACCCCAAATGTTTCATTGAGGTCCCCAACTGATATTTAAGTGTTTTATGTGACATTAGGGGTCATAAAGAGTCTGTAAACATGTTGAAAGAACTCAAATGATGCAATCTACCATGGCTAGATGAGTTAAAAGCGAGTTATCTGATGATTCTAAACTGCTAGGAGTGTCCGAAGATCAAGGGGAGATTCTCTTTTCCCTTGCTTTGGAGATTTCTCTAACCTCTCTCACTATAAGAGAATCAAATACATTGGTTACTAAATGGTTTTAGGGATTAAGAAGGGTTTGAAAACACTTCATAAGACCAGTAATCATTGAAAACGAACTGAATCTTCTAATCTCATCAACCCCCACAAAACCCATTTTTGCAAACCAAGGCCAAAGCTTAATCTTGTGGTCTCAAATGAAAACTCTAGAGGTGCTGAGTTTGATTCTTACCTGTAGAATGTTGATTGGGGTCTGAAGAATGATAAAGTTTCTACCTTTGATCTTGTAAGAGGAAGAAGAATGGGTTGAAGAAGAAGAGAAGAAGACAAGGAAATGAAGAAAAAGATGAAGCTTGCTCAGACGTGATATCACCCAACTTAATTGGTTTTAAGCTTTATTTTTTAACAATGATAAAATTACTTTCTTGGTCCTCCTGATTTTGGTTGCAAACTAAAAACATCCTTTTTATCTAATATTAAGCTCAATCCAAGCCTAAATTCACTAAATCTTGAGTCCAAGCTTCTTATAAACTAGGAAATTAATTCAAGTCTCAACTCGAATTAGTCCAAAATTCATAATCTGGAATTTCAGGCGTTACATGCATCTGCTTTTTCAACCCGATTTATCTTAACGTAAGTGAAAGGTGAATTCTATAGGAAATATTTTTCAAAATACGCTTTCTATAGAAGTTTTTTATGCTTACTTGACAAAAAAAAGTGAAAGGCGATATTTGGTGCATGTTAAAGACACTTAATCACAAGAATATGTGTTAGGTATTAACTAATCAACACATATATTAATTTATGTTCAATCACTTTATATATATATATATATATAAAGTATATTTAAACATTTCAAAATTCATATATTTTAATAATATGAGATTTGAAAAACTCGCAAAATTTTCAAATCTTACATTTTAAGCATACATTTATCAGTGAATGAATATAAGACTAATATATATATATAGTGTTTAGCTCGTTCTCCTACTTAAGTAATACGTGTTTTCAACACAAAATATACATATTTATTCATTTTTTTAATTATATATTTTCAAATTTTTACCTATATATTTTTTCTATTTTTATTACGTAAGTGCAAGTAACATTTTGCATAAAATATTTTCTAGAAAATACTTCTAAGAAAGAGGATGTTAGATTGAGAAATAATATGAGTGTTAAAATAAAAAAAAATTAAGTATATTTAGATCAAAAAGTCTTCAACTGATATATTTATTAATAAAGAGGCTAATTTAATAGGTACATTCACCGACATTTATTCTAGTAAAACTTCAAATTCTTACTGTCAAGTAAACTCCTAAACTTTACTTTTCACCTTTGACATGTCAAAACGACAACAAGGGCAGCGTTTCTTCTTCTTCAGCCAGGTTACAATGCAAAGCTCGTGAAAAGAATGCGAGCAAGGCACGCAGACCGCTTCGCCACCAACCACCAATTCTTCCAAACAAATCGGACACTCCTTCCCCGCCGCATCAACCACCGTCTTCCCCACATTCTCCGCCACCTCTTCCGCTGTCATCGTCACCCCTTCACCGTCACTATCGTCCTTATCATCACTCCCAAAGTCAGGCACGTCGTCCACGACAGCCTCGACCGCCACCTCCATCCTCAACACCTTCCCATCTCTGTCCCTAGCGTCCGTCGCCAACCGTACGGCGGTGGCCGCTATTTCTTCAACCATAGACGGTTCGACCGGGAAACGCATCGAGTCGAGCATGTCAGAAACGGCGCCATTTCCGTCGTTGATCAAGTCGTCGAACGGAAACTCGTGGATCACTTGGGAAATAATCCTCCCGGCTTCCACAAACGGTTCGCCCCCGGCGACGGGGTTCCTCTCGACGATGATAAACGTCGCCCTAACCTCGATTTCAAACACAGAAGAAGAAGATGAAGAGAGAGATTTGGTTTGCGAGGATTCCATGTCGATGTGGGATTGTATGAGATAAGGTATCAAATCTTCAAGGCGTTATTTATTGGAAAGAAAAAGCATGAAAAATGAAGGGGACGAAGAACACGAAGTGGACACTGAGAAACTGTGAATGGGGACATTTTATGGCTTATAAAGAATCCGCTATTGATTTTGATGCTTCCCTAACGCGGTTTGTTTACCGCTTGCAGTCGGCCATTTGAACACTAACCCATTCCTTTGGGCTAGACCCGTCTCACCCATCTCACTTTCTATTATTAAGTGTAGGGATGGGCACAGAATCTGACCCCAATCAGGTCGGATTTTATTAAAAAATTTAGGTCCAGATCAAATCTTTTTAAGATTATATCTAGCTCGGGTTGGATTTGGATTTAAGGTAAAAAATATCTGATTCGACTTAAAAAAATTATAATTTTACTTGATATATTTAGAGATAATTACAATAATATATCTCTATATATTATTTTCTTTCAATTAAATCCATACTTTTATTGAATAAAAGTAATATTTTTTAATAAATATATTATTTCGAGTTGGATTTCATTGGTTTTAGATTTTATTTCAAAAAATCGGGTTGGGTCGTGTGAACCGAAAATCAAATTCAACTCGACTCATGCCCATCATCACTAGTTAAGTGTGAGCATTCAATCTAGTCCAATTAATTTTTTATAAATTAGTCATGTTGTTGAGTTCTATTTTAGTATTTAAATTTTATTTAAAAAATCGAGTTGAATCAAGTTTATAATATTCGTGTTTAGTTGAGTTGTTTCTGTTAATGTTATGGCACTAATTTATTCTAGGTTAAATTACGCATTCAACATCTAAATTATCATTTTTGGTCCATTTTAGTATTTGAAGTTTCAAATTTTTTAAAAATCATTCTTAAAGTTTAGTTTTTGTTTCATTTAGTACCCTTGTTCAAAATTCAACGTTAAGTTTTGAAGAAAAAAATTGAAAGTTTAGGTACTAAAGCGGACCAAAATTGATAGTTTATGAACTAAACGCGTTAAGTTTTTAAAGACGGGTACAAAAATGAAACAAAAACTAAACATTAGATATGTTTTTGAAAAAATTGAAAGTTTATGTACTAAAACGGATCAAAATTGATAGTTTAATTACTAAATACGTAGTTTACGTTTTATTCTAATTTAAAAGACTCAACTCGAACTTAAAAATAATACATTAATTACTAAAAATTACCTATTACTTGTGTTATTCAAGTCCTATTTTATAAATCAATTCTTTTATTTTAGAAAATATTTTGAATTCGTCCAAATTTTTTAATCGAGTTGAGTTTTGCTCACTTTTATCTATTATTCAAAAATTTTAAGATCAAAAGGCTTCATATACCAATTGGTCCCTGAATTTGGTACCTAAACCTAGCAATCTTTTTCCAAAGTGATAACTATGGGTAATGCAGTTTATTTTATGTACCACTTTGATATTTGAATTTGGTACTTATTCTTAAAACGGTATATGAATTTGATTTACAGTAGTACATGAATAATAATTTTGTTTTATTAAATCGTTTAATATAAAAATAAATTTCTAAACTATACTTAAATTTGACTTCTAGTACTTAAAAGAATTTTTCATTAAAAATAGTTTTATCCCTTACACTTTTAGGTGTCTAATATTAAAAAAAATCGTTAAGTGACACGTGTCACGTTCATATTTATATTTTTAAATAATATTTTATTTTTAAAAAAATCTGAAAATATAAACGTGACACATGTCACTTAACGAGTTTTTTTACAGTATACACCTAAAATTGTAACGGAGAAAACATTAAGTACCTAATTTTATTATTAAAATTAGGAACCAAAAATCAATTTTAGGTATAGTTTAAGCACTTATTTTTATATTAAGTCTTATTATGCTTGAGAATGATGGTCAAGTTTAGGAACTAAAATCGTAAAACCAAGTTTTTTATCCCATTCCTAAAAAAACGTTAATTGAGAATGGTTATGAGGTAGTATGTGTTCAGATTTTTTCTTAGTCATTGATGATGTACACACATTGTAGACTTAACTGTCGAATCTGGAACTTCTAAGAATAACAACACTCCCTTCTACTACTGAGACCATTAAAAGGTTCCAAAAAAATACTAATTTGAGAAAGAAAAAAATTAGACCATTTGAACTTATAGAAGTTGATTTTTTTTTATTAAGCTAATGTGACTACAAAGTAGTATATGTTTTAAATACTCTTAACCATTTGATAATGAATGCTCAATCATCCTTATTGTAATTGATGGTACTCGAATTCGGAACCTCTAAAATAACAACGATTCATTTAATCATCGTATTATTTCTATTATAAGTAATTGTAGAAATCTATAACATCTATAGTCAAAATTTTAATGAGAAATAGAGTTCGATGGTCAAATTACCAACAATTAATATTCTCATATTGTTAATAATCAATAGAGAGTCTGAACAAATTGATGTGATATCACTATCTACTAAATTTAATTTTCTTTTAAAATAATAAGTATGCAATTATTTCTCTAGAGGATTTAGTACATCCATCCCTATCCAACATCATGGTAAAATGGTAAATAAAAGACGATAAAAGGTATAGATGTTTATAGTTATACAATTGAGTTATCTTCCTATATTTGGTTATAGATAGTCTATTGCATTGTATAAACTTTACCTTTTGTGAAATATAACGAGCATGGTCATTCTCAATTAAATCAAAGATTTACCTTTTCCTTTATCTTCTATCTTTCTTGTTTATGTTGTTTTAAGTTGTACGAAATAGAAGGATTACATTATTATAGTTTTGAAAGGTTGATGGTCTTTTTAGAATTAGAACTAAATTATAATAAGGTATAAATATTCAGGGTTAAAATTTTATTATGTAAATTTTATTAGGGTAAAGTATATAAATGATCCATGGACTACGGGGTGTTGTTTTATTAAGTACCCCGACTATTTAAAGTTAAAAAATGATCTCCGATTATAGGGTGTTACTTTGTTGAGTCATCGACTATTAAAAGTTACAAAAATGATCATCTAACTATTCATATATTCTAAATATGTCGGCTTCTCTTAAAAATTAATTGTCATCTAAGTTGGACATTAACCTACTGACTGATATATGATAAAATTTAATCGCATAATCATTTGAATGGTATAATCGTTTAAGATTTTGGGATCATATTTTATCATATTCTAGTCAGCTGTTTAACACGCACTTCAAATAACCGTTAATTTTTAACGGAAAATGATGAGTTTAAAACATATGAGTAGTCGGATGACAATTTTATAACTTTTAAAAGTCGAGAGACTCAATAAAGCTAGCACCCTGTGATAAAGGGACTAATTTATAACTTTTAATAGTTGAGAGACTCAAGAAAATAGCGTTATATAGTTGAGTGACTATTTATGTACTTTACTCATCTTATTAATTGTCATGTTGTACATCATTAAATTTTGGGCTAACTAGACGGATGACCACTTATATTTGTATTTGTCCATTTTTAGTCACTCATCTCAAAATAAATAAGATATGATCACCTTCGTTCTTATTTAATTAAGTTGTGGTCACCATGAGTGAACTGTCGTTAAATATTTTTGGTATAATCACACATTTCATCCTTATTATTTACATACTCTCTCAATGTAGTCATACTTTTAATAAATTAGAATAAATGTAATCTTCCGATCGAATGGTGCCACTATCATGGTACCATGTGTCACCATTAGATTAAAAGACTAACTTTATTTTAATTTAAGTTATTTTAATTTAACAAAGCAAAGCAAATTGGTGGAAAATAAATATATTAAAATAAAATAAATTAAAATAGTCTTTCAACTGAATGTTGACACGTGTCACGACACATGACACAGTGACACGTGATATCATTCTATTGGAGGATTAAATTTATTTTGATTTATTAAAAGTATGACTAAATTGAGAAAATATGTAAATAATATGGATCAAATGTGTGATTATATCAAAATATCACGTCACTTAATCTGTTAAGTTTTAACTACAGTTAACCCGTGGTGATCACATCTTAAATAAAAAAATGATCATATTTTAATTAAATAAAAATGAAGGTGATCATATTTTATGTATTTTGAAATCAGTGATCAAAAGTAGACAAAATACAAACATAAATAATCATCAGTATATTATCCCTTAAATTTTAATAAAAATAATCTATCAATTATTTTAATATCGGATGAATATTTTATAACATTTTGTAATTAGATTAAAAAAAGCACCCTATAATTGTATGGATTATCTTCTAAAGGCTCCGTCTGTAAAAATATGCAACCAAGTCAAAAAATTGGCGTTTTTCTATTGAACGTTATACTTGCCAATAATCACCATTCACACAAGCACATCAACCGCTCTTTGAACGTCCCTCGGGCATCCCTGTTCACATTTCTCATTTTCCAAGACCCCAAACAAAATATACGGTGGTGTTTATTTTTAAAGAAGTAAAAGGTCTGTAGTCTGCGGATCAAATATGAAGATATATGTAGTAGAAGAGGTGGATCAAAAGTCTGCAGTCTCTAAGAAGAAGACTGTTTGTTTTTTAACGTATGCATACTGCTAAAATAAACTGAAATATAAAATAAACTGATTTTTTAAACTTAAAAGAGTTTTGCAATACTGAAATTTAAATAATCTATACAACTACAATAATAATTTTTTTAAAATAAATAAATTCATATTTTAAAATAAATCAATACATATTTTAAAATAAATCAATCCATATTTTAATATAAATCAATCCATATTTTAAAATAATTTTTTCCATATTTTAAAATAAGTCAATCCATATTTTAGAATAAATCAATCCATATTTTAAAATAATTTTTTTCCATATTTTAAAATAAATAAATCCATATTTTAAAATAAACCAATCCATATTTTAAAATAAATCAATCCATATTTTAAAATAAATCAATCCATATTTTAAAATAAATCTTTCCATATTTTAAAATAAATCAATTCATATTTTAAAATAAAATTTTTCATATTTTAAAATAAATCAATCAATATTTTAAAATAAATCAATCAATATTTTAAAATAAATTTTTCTATATTTTAAAATAAATGATTCATATTTTAAAATAAATCAATCCATAATTTAAAATAAATCAATCCATAAATTAATCCATATTTTAACATATTTTAAAATAAATCGATCTATATTTTAAAATAAATTAATCTATATTTTAAAATAAATCAATCTATATTTTAAAATAGATTTTAAAATAGATTTAAATGATTTTAATTTTCCCGCAGACCTTTGAAGACATAAAATCATGTATGCATCAAGAAGAGCTCGCGCAGACGTTTGAAGAGCTCTTGTCTTCTAAAAAATGAACGATCTGAAAAATCTAATGTCTGCGTGTGGTCATACATACATAAGAGATTTGAAGAGGTTATACAGTAAAAACAAACTAAGCATATGGGTCTCGTTATTTTTCTGAATTGTTGAGGAATTTGCAAGTCCAGGCCTGTGTTTTTGGCCATCTTTCACAATTTCTTTCTTCCCATTTTCTCTCGAACATGAAATCCATCTCCAAATCCTTTTTTCTCGCCTTTTATTGTTTCACTTTCACTATGAACGCGTTTCATGTTCTTGGAGAAAATAGCCCAGAATCAGCACCCGTCTCTTATATCCTTTCTTGCGGCGGCGGCGATGGCATCGATTCAGATAGCCGATATTGGATTCCCGACCGAGAGTTTATAGCTCCGTCCGACAGCGGAGACCATACGGATAATCACGATCTTATATCCAAAGGAGCCGTCCAAGACCCTCCTGTATCGATCCGGTGTGCACTTGAACACAGATGATTCATAAACCAGCTAGAGTTGTATTTCCTGTGGTTTTTGCTCGGAGGATTCGAAATGAGAACGATAAGAGCCGATGAGGTTGTTTTAAGAGGATTTGGATTCGGAATTGTAACCGAAGACAACATTTAGTTAAAAAAATCTATGTAATGCAGCAAGAGTTGTGACAATATTTTATAGACGAACGTCGTGAATATTGGTGTTTGATTGACTCTATGTACACTTGTATCAGCACTGCTAGTATACCAAATTTGACTTGTTGGGTGCACATTTTTACTCAAAAATCGAATTAGATTTCAAGCTGAGTGGAGTCTCTCTAAACTTGAATCGGATCGAGTGATATATTACTCGAATAGAATTTGGATTGACCAAAAAATAAATCCGACCCAAATCATGCTCATTCCTAATAGCAGGCTAGTAGGCATCGGTTGTGTTGATTTGTTGTGCTGGTTGTGTTTCGAGCTTGGGCTTTCTTAGCCTGGTGCATTTCATGAAGTAGACTTTTAAACTGAATTAAGAGCCTAAATTTGCGCACTTCTTAATCACCATTTTACTCGACTATAAATTGGTGCATTTCTCCCGGTAAAATTTGAAACTGAAAACCTCCCGACAAAACAAGAGAGATCAAAATTGATCGAGATTTGGGGAAAAATGAAAGAAAAAGAAAATCAAATTCCGTTAAGAGAACACTCACGATCCTCGGATCTCTCAAATCGCCGATCAAATGATTCTCCCGCGAAGAAAACTCCAAAGAAGGTAAATGATTCTGATAACCGATAATTCCTCAATTTCCTCTGCATTTGTGAGCTCATTTATTTATTTGTTCTGGTAGCAGATTGCTAGAAAGAGTTTGAACGAAGCGCTCATTTCACCGACCGAAGATGTTTTACCTGATATTTCAGAAGAATCCATTGATTTCTCTTCGATCTCTGCTTTTTCAGATGTTGATTTCAACATTGAGACCGCTGAGGTACGAGTTTTTACGTTGCTTTCGATGCGTGGAGTAAGAATTACTGGAGGCAGATTAACTGCGTACGTTTCAATTAATTATTGATCTGGATGCGTGAATAAGCTTAATCTCTATTATTGATTTCAAATCATGATAAATCAATCTATCTTGATTTTCTGTGAAAGAACAGTTCTCAAGGATGAATTTCAAAATCATTGTAAAAAATTATGATTATATTTTGATAAATGTGGTTAGATGAATGATAAATACATAATACGTGGCTTCGGTTGTTAAATTCTTTGGTTTCAGAACCTTGTGATCTTATCGAATCCATTACTTTCCACTTCATTGGAAACGTTCACGTTACCTGAAATTGATCCTTGTTCAAAGATGAGCACTGCAAGCAGAGATGGACAAATAGACTTCTCAAAAACCGGTTTAGCGGAAGCAGTGATTCTAGTGAATCTTCTAAAACAAGCTCGACTCCAAGCATTGAATTCTGTTGACATGGAGAACAAATCCAAGAAGGTTCTAGATGCATTGATCGAATTCACTATTAAAGAGTTCTACACTCTGCCCCAAGAGATAGATAAGTTACCTAAACTTGTCTGTAGAGATGTCTATGCACGATCTCTCTGCTTCTTGCTTATGGTTGTAGCGGTGGCGTTATTCTCCCTTTATCTGTTCTGCTACTCAAGATTGGTTCCGTCTTTCACAGTACTGCCACCAACATGAAGGTATTTTTTTATTAATTCGATTTGAGTTTCAAATTTTTTATGATACGTTGCACTTTCAATGTGTAGTCTTGTTCTGATCACTTAATCATTTCAAATTAATATGACTTTTATTGCACATGTTAAGTAACCAGTGTTAGTTACTTGACTGATTCTTTTATCCATATGCTTGATTTAACTTTAGCTTACTTGGTAACGTACTAAAGCTTAAAGTGATGGTAACTGAAGACTTCAATTAGCAACTACTAGGGTAGAGTCTGATTGCAAAGTTATGCATTTCAGCCCACCTTTGTTTGTCAATAATTTGATGAATTGGTCAATAATTGAACTTCATGTCCCTTTCATGCTAAACACCTAAAGAATATTCTTCTGGATGAAAACTCTCATAAGAATTTTGAAACAATGTTTTGATGAACTGGTCGATAATTGAACTTGTTTATTCTAAGTTAACAACTTTATGTCACTTTAATCTAAACAACTAAAGTATATTCTTCTGGGTGAAAACTCTATTATAAAGAATTTTGAAACCATGTTGCTTGCCCTCTTGGTTTTCTTTGAATTATTGTCTGACATTTGTGTCTAATAATCCTCTAAGAACCCTCCAAAAATATTTAAAAGAACTTTGAGAAAATAAACCTGCTTAATGTTAGCGTAACATAGATTTGAAAACATTATATTTGCATTTCGCACGTTGAATATTGAATCATTTAAACCCATAGTCGGCTTGTGAACTGGTGTAGGACCTTCGAAAGATCCCATTCTATTTAAATGTTTCGCAAAGCCTGATTTATTTCCCTGTTGTATTTTGTAGTATTTTTTTTATTAATCTGGGATAAGTATAAGACGGTATCAGTTTAAAGATAACTCTCAACCTCTTGACATTAAACACTCACGCCCTGATATTTTCGGTGCTTGAACCCGGTCCTCACATAAGAAAAATAATTTTTTACCATAAAAGCCACTTAGTGCGTATTTTGTTATATTCACTGTTCAGTCATGGTCCAATGTTCAAAGCTATTACTGTTTCATATCTTTGTTTGTTGGACATCGGTAAAACAAGTCAAATTAGTATCCACGTTATTATCAGAATGAAATGCAATGCAACCAAAACAAAGATGATAGCGTTAGTTATTAAGGTTAAAATTAGATCACAGACACCGACAAATTTTGTATTTATGTTTCAATTGTTATTATCCTTGAAGTAAATAAAATAGTTCCATTACATGCTAGGCCAGCGAATATGGAACGATGGGTTCTTTTAGAGGAGGCAGTTATGAATTGTGAGAAGGTATAGGAATATTTTGAGAAGTATTTTATATGAAGTTAGGTAATATTTTATATAAATATGTATTTAATATGATATGTTTATATTTAAATATATCTTAAATAGAGCAAGTATATTTGGTCGGTTGGTTAATCTGCTCATTATTCTCTCAAATTCTCTTAAATTATGGGTTCTAGACCTACTAGGAGTACTCCCTTTTTCTCCTTAAAGTTCTTCCTTCCCCTCCCTTTAGAGAGAGTTTAAAGTTTGGATAAAATATTGGTAGCATAGATTGTGACACGAAATGCATTCTTATAAACTCTTTATATGGTGACAACAAATGCATTCATAGTGTTTATGAATAAGATAACGATTAATTCCCACTTAAAAATGAATAATACTTATAGCACTGAATTTTTAGGCCTGGCTGTACATAAAGAGCTAAGATTCGATGTAATCCACATAACTTGTTAAATAGTTAAACCCCTTTTTTTCCTTAATGAAAGATCTAGCTGTATTTTAAAGCAACGTTTAGTTTAACTAAAAGTATTTTGAGTCATCAATGAGGGGTTGTGACATAATTATTGAATGCTTGCTTTTCATCAACAAGTGTCTTTGTGCTAAAATTTGGATTAATCATCAAGAAAGAGCTTTTCAGCGTTTAATTAATCTCCGGTTGACCAACTTCGTTTCTACTTATGAAGGTGATGCAATCCCCTAAGAGGGCGTTTGGATGAAGGAGAATAATCTTTTCCGAAATCATTATTACGTTTGGTTAAAAAAACATTTTCACGAAGAGATAATGAAATATTACCTACATTGTTGTTTTTTTTACCTTGCATTAAGAGCATCTCGTTCCCCTCATTTTATTAGATATTAGATAATTCCCTTCCTTTTGGATAATAATGTCCCTGAAATTATATAATTATTTCAAAATGATAATTTCTTTTGTATATAATTATACAAGTGTAAATCTAATGTTTTAATGATTTAGGAATTTTTTAATATTATTATAAAAATAATATGATGCATATAAAATAAAAATATATAAATTTTTTTATTTTGATTATTTTTATGTATGTGTTCGCTTCAACTTTTTTGTTTTTGTTTTATTACATGTATTATTTAGGATTAAATTCATAAAAGGATTTTATATTATATATATTTTTAATATTTTCTATTAATTTTGTCATATAATTTGATATGATATTTTATCGTACCACTCATACTTGTAGCATAAATAAAAGTGTAGCAATTAACACAAACTTACATCGATGTAAATATATACATCTCCAAACCTAATATATCTCAAGGATAATATTTTGAGTTTAATATTTGTGTATAATTTTTATTAAAAATATTAAAATTAAAAAATAATAGAAAAATATATATTTTCTATGAGCCTATATTTTGACTTTAATATTGAGAATTCAATTTGTTAAAGAAAAATATATCTCAAGGATAATTTAATAATACATACATTTTTCTTATCTTATATTCCTTCAACTAAACACTGTAATTTTATATTCCTGCCAAACAAATCAAACAAAGTAATACATAATTCCCAGCAATATGTTAATTAACATTCTTGTAATATCATTTCCGAAGGTAATCTTATATTATGTGAACCAAATAATCCCAAAGGGTTGAGCTAGGATGTAATCCAGGGGAATCAAGCTCTAGCTGTTAAAATATTGAGCTTCAGCTCAACACAAAATTCAAAATTTAAACTCGAAACTCGAATTTTGCTACACATTACCTAAAGGGTCTGCTAGGAACATTTAAAATGTATTTGAGTACATTTGTATAAGATAAATATTTGTTCATGTTCTGGAATTATAGATTATTAGGCTGATGACCTTCACTTGATTGACATTCTTTTGCCCGTCGTATTTATGGTTTTACCTTAGGATAAGCTGACTCTGGTCCGAGCTGTGGTTCGTGTCGAGTTCATAATCAAATCGAGTTACGAATTTATCGACATTGCAATACTGTATTATCAGATTTTTCATATCATTAGGGTTCACTCTCAAGTTCATTGTTTGATTCCAAATATAGTTTTCATTAGATTATTATTTTCACTTTCAGGACTTCATCCATCTAATTCCCTTTTGGAATTCATTGGCATGCACATGGTAAAATGATTTTGGCTCTTGATTATATTAGAGAATTTGGAGCATCTAGACATAGGCATGTAAATGAACCGAACTGTTAGTGAAATTCGGCGGGAAGTTCGTTTATATTCGTTTATTTATTAAACAAACAAGCATGAACAAGATTTTGTGTTCGTTTAATTAAATGAACGAACACGAACAAAGGGCTCGTTCATTCATTTACGTTCGTGAACGTTCGATAGTATATTCGTTCATTTATGTTCCTTTACTTTCGTTCGATTATGTTCGTTCATTTGTGTTTAGCTCCATCTCTCTAGAACCATTTAAAATATTAAGGTCCAATAAATTTTAATATGATGCCCATTAATATTTTAAAATTTAATTAATTTTAAATACAAATAAAAAAGCCCAAAACAATTAAATACAAATTAACTATGAAGTCACAACATATACTAATGAATTTTATGTGATTATTGTTGTTGTGGTTTATGTTCGTTTATTGTGTTTGTTTTTGTTCGTTTACGTTCGTTTGTTTGTGTTTACTTGTGTTCATTTACATTCGTTTATTGTGTTCGTTTATTTCGTTCATTTGTGTTCGTTTATCATTTAGATGAACGAACACGAACAAGCTACATTCCTTATCGAACGAACACGAACAAGAAATTTTTTTTTCGTTTATGTTCGTGTTCGTTCATTTATTCGGTTAAAGTTAAACGAACGAACATGAACATACTCCGTTTGTGTTTGTTCGGTTCATTTATAGCCCTATCTAGACATTACATAGTTTTATTTACTAAAATATAGGTTAAACCGTGGATAATTGTTATCTTGAAAACTATCATTCATAACCACTATAAAGTTTTGATTATGTTATTTTATATTTCTTAAAAATCATATTTAAAGAGTTTATATCTATAGAGAATTTTTTTGGATAAATAAAAATTTTATTATCCAAACAAAGAAGAGAAAGTACATACAACACAATCAAAGATCAAAGAAAGCTAATTACAACAAAAGAATGGTTAACAAATACCCCAATTGGTACAAAGTTGCATATTAACAAAATCAAGCCTATTAAGTTCTCTATTCCTAAGTAGAGAACCAACAATCTCCTTAATGGCAATGAGCAAGTCATCTATAGTTCTAGCTCTACCTTGGAATAGACGTCTATTTCTTTCTTCCCAAACAAAATAGATGAAAGAGCTCCAAGCAATCTTCAAAATAAAGGAAAGAAGAGATTTACCTTTCCAACAAGAAATAGCCCAAGCAAGCTTGATATCCCAAGGCATATGAGGCTTGGTTAAGAGTGAAAGATGCATAACTCTATTCCAAAGAGAATCAACCATAGCACAATCAGCAAATAAATGGTTTCTTGTTTCGAGGCCCTCGTTGCAGAAAGCACAAGAACTTTCAGTGGTTATCCCCATTTGAATGAGTCTTTCCCGAGTGGGAAGTTGTTGAGTTAATCGATTGACAGAATTGGCCAAGAGGGGGGTGAATTGGCAATAAAAATTTTGGTGGAAGCTTTTGCAGAAAATTGAAAGAAATTGCACAGCGATTTAGAGTGGTTCGACTTTCTCAACCAAAGTCTACGTCCACTACCTTAGCTATCCACACTAAGGA